CCGGGTGATAGTGCAACTCGAAGTCATAATCCTCAATGAACTCCATCCACCTCCTCTGCCTCAAATTCAAGTCTCTCTGTGTAAACAGATACTTCAAACTCTTATGATCCAAGAATACCTCGAATCTCTCACCGTACAGATAATGCCTCCAAATTTTCAAGGCAAAGATTACAGCCGCTAACTCTAGGTCATGTGTAGGGTAATTCCTCTCATGTATTTTCAACTGACGTGAGCCATAGGCTACCACTTTCCCCTCTTGCATCAACACACAACCCAAACCCTCTCGTGAGGCATCACAATAAACCGCATAACCCAAACCTCTCTCTAGGATAATCAAAATCGGAGTGGTGGTCAATCTAACTTTCAACTCTTGGAACGACTTTTCACAAGTCTCACTCCACACAAATTTGACCCCTTTCCGCATCAATTTAGTCAATGGCGAAGCTAGCCTGGAGAAATCTTTCATAAACCGGCGGTAATACCCAGCTAATCCTAGAAAACTGCGGATCTCAAAAACACTCTTAGGCTGTGCCCAATCCTGCACTGCCTCTATCTTGGATGTATCAACAGATATCCCTTTCCCGGAGACCACATGGCCTAGAAACTTGACTTCCCCTAGCCAGAACTCACACTTCCCAAATTTGGCATACAGCCTATGGGCTCTAAGCAACTCAAGCACCATTCTCAAGTGTTCTTCGTGCTCCTTCTCAGACGGTGAATAAATTAGAATGTTGTCCACCAAAACGACTACAAAACGATCTAAGAATTCCCGGAAGATCCGGTTCATCAAATCCATAAACACTACCGGTGCATTGGTGAGCCCAAAAGGCATCACCAGAAACTCATAGTGGCCATACCGCGTACGGAATGCCATCTTTGGAATATCCTCCTCCTTAACCCTCAACTGGTTCAAATCTATCTTAGAGAAATAACATGACCCCTTCAACTGGTCAAACAGATCATCTATACGAGGCATAGGGTACTTATTCTTAACCGTAGCCCGATTCAATTTTCAGTAATCGATACAAAGTTTCAAGGCACCATCTTTCTTTTTAGCAAAGAGGGTCAGTGCTGCTCACGGCGAAACACTAGGGCGGATGAAACCCTTATCTAGTAACTCCTGGAGTTGAATCTTCAACTTGCTCAACTCAGCTGGGGTAAAACGATAAGGTGCCATAGAAATCGGCGCCGTGCCGGGCACTAAATCAATAGAGAACTCGATCTCTCGATGTGGTGGTAAACTCACAAGATCCTCAGGAAAGACATCTGAGTACTCACAAACCACTCTCGACAAAACAGTCTGGGTCCCATCACACTCACCACTCATAAAGCTGGCGAGAAGACCACTAAGCTCACTCCGTCCTCGCGGATCATACACCGGTGGAAACACACTACCAACCCGATCCCCCAAGAAATGGAAGCAATCCCCACTCACGGTACATACAGTGACTTTCTGGCAGTAACAATCAATAACAGCTAGGTATGACGATAACCAGTCCATACCCAAAATCACATCGAAACCCGACATAGCCATAACTATAAAAGAAAATGGAAGTCGGCGGTCGGCAACCTCTATATCACAGCCCCGACACCCTTGTTTCAAAATCAATTCACCCCCAACAGGTGATATAACACAAATAGGAGATGCTAACTGCGCCAACTCCAATCCCAAAACAGATGCAAATGCAGTAGATATAAAGAAATGAGATGTACCCGTATCAATCAATACATTGGCAACTGAGTTGCAAAACAAAAAGGTTACCTCTCACAACAGATGGAGCCAGTACAAAATCCTGCGCGGTAACAGCATACATGCGCCCTGAAGGTCTCTGGTCTACCTGCTCACCCCTAGGAGTAAAAGACTGCTGCACAGACTGGAACGACGAAGCTCCCAGATTGGCCCTCGAGGCCTGAACTGACTGTGCTGGCTGAAAACTCTGCGTTTGCCTCGAACCAGGCGCACCCGATGTGGCACTCAACTGCGGGCAAAACCTCTTCAGGTGCCCCGCCTGGCCACATTGGTAACAAGAGAGCGGCTCTCCTCTACCCTGACTTTGGCTCTGAGGTCGAGCCGAAGATAAAGCTGCTCTCTGATCTCCTCCCCTCTGCGGGCAAGCTGGAGAGTTGTGGCCTAGCTGACCACATTTGTAACAGGTAACGTCTCCCTGACCGCCTCTCCCAGAACCTGTACTCGGCACTGGAAAGGTGGATCTAGCAAAACCACCCAGAGATTGCTGCGGGTTAGAACCCTTTTCCCTCCTAGCATCCTCCTGGCCATCCTGACTCCTCTTGGAGCCCCTCATTCTCTCCTCCTCCTCACGCATGATAATCTCTATATGAGCTGCAACATCCACTAGACGCCCATACTCCCGGATCATGGACCCTGTAACTCTAGTCCTGAGTCCGTGCCTCAACTTCCTCTCAAATTCCAAACAACGACATTCCTCAGACGCCACTAACTCAGGAGCAAACCTCGACAAGCTAGTAAATGCGGCCTCAAACTCGGCCACAGGCAAACTCAGCTGATTAAGCTGATAGAACTGATCTCTCAACTTCTCCCTGACAGCGGGAGACAGAAACTTCTCCTGGAAAGCATCCACAAAGGCCTCCCAAGTGCCACCAATACGACCCCTCATAAACTTCCACCACTGACCCGCATCTCCCTTCAGTTGGAAAGATGCCAAGGTCACCTTCAAAGCCCCGTCTTTGATGCCAAGCATCTCAAACGTCTTCATCATCTGTTCCAACCACTCATCAGCCTTAAATGGCTCTTTCAGATCCCCCAGAAACTCATCCAGATTGGACCGAAAAAACTCCCTCTTCAGAAAAGAAGGCCCTGCCTCAGCAACATGGGCCTGGACTTGATTCTCAGCTCTGAGAATGTCTATGGACTCCCTCAATGCTCCTGCCATCTCGTGGGCTAAGGCATCCATGGCCTGCTGACTTACTGGCTCGGCCACATTGGCCTGGCCAACACCCTCCTATTGTTCCGGAATCTCATCCGATATAGACATTTCTTGCCTCCTAGGCCTACCTCGCCTACCACCATGTCTTCGTCCTGATATCCTAATAAAGGTAACGGGAACATTAGCACATTCATAAATGTACCGAAACTGTAACGCTCGCGTCCTAATGCATGGACAACTGTAATTCATTCCACGTAAGCACGTAATCACATAAGCACTTACGAATTTCATTTCCGGAAAATGACAGTCCCGAGGCGTTGCTAGAGTTCCAGTTAGAAATAGCATTGATCAAGTGCTTTTCCAACAAGACTCACAGAGACCCAAGGATCCAATCAACATCCTAGAAATTAAATCCCATACCTAAGTAGTCACATAAACATGTTATCACATAAGCACATAACATTACATCTAAGTCTCTAACAAGCGAGACAGACCCATTGTGGTACTAACCACGTCCCGCGTACCCAAAGTATTCGAACCCGGTACGCTCTGATACCAAGTTGTAATGCCCTCGAAATAATACATAGAAACCCACATTATAGGCATACATAGACATAAGTAGACAGAACTTAATTCCATTCATCAGAGTATTCCTTACAAATGTATTACATATTGACAACAAAAGTAAATGCCCAACGGCTTACAACTTTCCAAGCCAACACTTGGTTACACAAAAGAGAGTACTAACTCAAAGCACATTAAGTCCTTGGCTTGAATTTACATGTAATACCAAAATAACAAAAAAATAATTCAAGAGTCTTCAACTCCCAAAACCTTCCAAGCTACGTCCTTGGAGGTAGCATATCACCTGAATCTGAAAATGATGTCCCATATAGGGTGAGCTACAACCCAGCAGAGATATACTAAACCATATATGAACAATGACTAAAACAATAGCATTTGATAGATGGTTAACTCTTATAAACCAATTTACAACCTCGTCCAATTCCATGACACGAAGTCCACGTTTCATTTCATATTTCTTTGCTTATACAAAACATTTCATAAACATAGCTCAGAACCTAGCCAAACAATTAATTGGGAATACATCCCATATCAAAGCACTTCCTTTATTCACAATTCAAAGGAGTTTACAACTCATCTTAAAACACTTCCATACTTCAATTTAATACACACATTTGCTGTATTAATACTTCAAATGATACACATATTTGCTGTATCAATGGAGTCCATCCCCTATCTCCTGCCAAATGGGTTTGAGAGTCCATCTCCTATCTCCGTGTGGTCAAAAATCAACACCTACAATTTGGCGCCATCTTTGAAAACTTAAGAAGAGTAGATGGCCAACGACGGACAGGAATTGAGAATTGGAGACGACATCCACAGCGACAAGAAAGAACATATGGATCCTAATGCTAGAGGAGAGAATGGTAATAAAGGAGTACAAGAACTGAATCCTGTGATGAATGATGTCGGCAAGGGGCGCAATGGCCCGAAGAAGGGAGGCTGAAATGAATATTATAATGAAAGTGACCTCCAGGTATGGAAGGATAGATGCATAAGAAGGGATGAGGAGATAAAGGACATGGAAAACAAGTTGACAGGCCTGCAGACTGTGGTTAACTTCATGATGCAAAACAACGAGATGCAGCCATCGTTTCCATTGTAGAAGACATTGACACCAGTAGCTAAGACTGATGCCGTAAAAGGAGGACAGAAGGCAGTCCCAGTTGTCCCACAGCATGGCAAGGGATAGGGAAACTCATAGCGGCCATCAAAGGATGTCAGGCATACAGAGTCAGTACGAGGCGAGTCACAGAGGACATCGCGGGCCAAGGGGACCTATGTCAAAGGATCTTGGAAGATCCAAGGGCAAGGCCGTCATTTTGATGTAGTAAATGAAGAGAAGTCCAAGAGGACACACAATTTCACCTGGAGTAGCACGCTGAGAGACTGAAGTCTATTGATAGCTGAGCACCTGGTAGGACGAAGGAGGATTTGAGAGATTACCTCCAGAGAAAGAGACTCCACACCGAGATCACGTCCAATGTTTGGCTGAGGACGCCATTCTTGATGGACTTGGATACATTTGAGGCCCCGAAGAGATTCAATATGCCGAGGTTTCAGATCTATGACTGTAAGTCTGATCCCAACTTTCATGTTGGTTTGTATTTGAATTCAATCGCTTTGTGGAGTGGGAATGAGCAGTTGCTATGCAAAGTATTCCCATCATCCTTTGGGGAGATAGCATCGGATTGGTTCTATAAACTGCCGAAAGGGAGTGTAAAGAGTTGGGAAAGCCTGGCCAAGAAGTTTGTGGCCAGGTTTTTTACGAACAAGTTGCAGTCACTAATGATAGATTCCCTATTGGCTTTGAAGATTGGTGATGGCGAAAGCCTCAGGGTTTATGCCAAGAGATACTGTAAGGTGTATAACCAGATTCCGGCTTGTAACCAGGAGCTAGCAGTCGTGTCATTCAAGAACGGCCTGGATGATAAATGCTCGCTTCAAAAATCACTTGCACAAACCCTACCGAAGAGCATGGAAGAGCTCATGACATAGATTGAGAAGTATGCCAGAGCAGAGGCAGACACACAGGGAACGAAGACACCAAAACAAGAAAGAAGAAACGGCCCGCTGAAGCGAGGTCGATGAAATACCGGTGCTGATAGGCCAGAAACAGGAATGAGGGCTATGCAAGCAGTTAGCATGATATTCAGGATTCCAATCTATAAGGTTTTCGAGAGGATCAAAAACCAACCATACTACAGAGCACCAAAGAGGGTCCCTGGTGAGTTCATGTGCAGGAGCACGAGGAAGCATTGTGTCTACCATAACGAGGATGGGCACATGACTCAAGGATGCAGTGCTTTGAAATCACACCTGGAGGATCTGGTCAGACAGGGTCACCTGAGAGACCTAGTAGATGAGGCGAGGACAAGGGACGAGCATGCGAGGCTGCCCAAAGCACCAGCAGCACCACCTCCACTACTTCTATCGCAGTAGGGGGAGGAACCTCGGGTAATCAATGTGATTCACTCGAGGGTCAATGAGAATGAAGTTCGAGGGGAGACCCAAAGAGTAAGGCACCTACAATATATATATCAGGTCCAGCAGAAGAAGCTCAGAACAAATGAATATCAAGGACCAATGATTGCTTTCACTGAGGCAAACTTGGACATAGTGCAGTATCTGCACAATGATGCCCTGATGGATCAGTGAAGCTCTTATGAAATCATGTATGTCAGATATTACAAGGAGCTTGGCCTCCACCGGGATGATTTAGAGCAATCTAACAGCCCTGTGGTCGAATTCAATGGGACGCTGACATGGCCTCTTGGAGCCATATCATTTTGGGACAACCTTGGTTGCATGGAATGAGGGTTGTTCCCTCAACGCTGCACCAACTATTGCGATTCCAAATAAAATAAGGGATTGAAAAGGTACGAGGAGACCAAGTACAGGCATAAAATTGCTCCATGACAACAATGAAGTACACCTGTAATGTCAGAGAAGCAGAGAGTGCAGAGATTGAAAGCGAAGACCATGAGGTCTTGGATGATGTCGACAAAGAGCCTACCGACAAAAGCGAAGAACCCTTGAAAAAGGTTCTTGTGCAAGATGGTAATGATGAACAATTCTTTCTCCTCAACTCTGGCTTAGCTAAGGAAGAAGAAAGAGAACTAGAGGCTTTCTTGAGAGAGAACATAGAGGTGTTTTCCTGGACAACTTATAAGATGCCGAGGATTAGCCCCGAGGTCACCTGTCACAGACTTAATGTGGACAGGTCGGCTAAACCAGTTGTCTAGAGAGCAAGGAGGCCGACATTGTACAGGCAGTTGAGGAAGAAGTAGACAAGCTACTATAGGCATAGGCCATTAAAAAGGTGAATTATCCCATCTGGTTGTCCAATACAATGGTGGTGAAGAAGAAGAATGGGAAGTGGAGGGTCTACGTGGCCTTCATAAGCTTGAACAAAACTTGCCCTAAGGACAGTTTCCCACTACCCAAGATTGATCAACTGGTAGATGCCACATCGGGGCATGGGAGGATGAGTTTTCTGGACACATATAGAGGTTATCACCAGATAGCAATGTATGCCCCATATGAAGAGAAGACATCATTCATCACCCCTAAAAGACTCTATTGCTACAGAGTAATGCCTTTTGGGTTGAAGAATGCAAGAGCAACAAACCAAAGACTGATCACCAAAATGTTCAAACATTTGGAAGGATGGTAAAGGTTTACATAGACGATATGGTTGTCAAAACCAAGGAACCTGGGAACCATATGGCCAACCTGAAAAATGTCTTTGATATCCTGAGATCATATCGGTTTCGACTCAATGCCGACAATGGCATATTTGGTTACCATGAGGGGTATTTAAACGAGCCTAGATCAGATCAGGGCCATCCATGATCTGAAGAGCCCGATAATGGCAAAACAGGTTCAGATTTTGACCAAAAGGGCCGCATCCCTGAACAGGTTCATTAGCCGAAGTTTGGATAAATGCAAATCTTTTTTTCAGTTATTAAAGAAAGCCACCAACTTTATGTGGACAGAAGAATGCAAAGTCACCTTGACCGACTTGAAGAAGTACCTGACAACTGCACCAGTGTTGTCAAACCCAATACCATGAAAAGAACTGTTCTTGTACCTGGCAGTTTCAGACCACGCTGTGAGTGTCGTGGTAATCCGAGAAGAGGAATGTGAGCAAAAGGTAGTGTACTATGTAAGCAAGACCCTGGCAAATGCAGAAACCAGGTACTTGCCTCTAGAGAAGTTAACACTGGCCCTGACAATGGCCTTGAAAAAGTTAAACCACTATTTTCAAGCCCACAAGATTGTGATGCTAACTGAATATCCACTAAAGTCCTTGTTGCAGCATGAAGACCTGATAGGAAGAATAGCTCGATGGGCAGCAGTTCTAGGTTAGTATGACTTAGAATTTAGGCTGGGAACAGCAATCGAGGGCCAAGTTTTGGCTGACTTTGTGACAGAATTCTCTCCTGGTGCAATCCCAAGGTAGGTACCGGTACGCCGCGGCCTAGGATGTTGAGGAAAGGACAAGGAAAACCAATTGGGGCCATGGAACCCCATGTCAGCAGAACAAAAGAAGACATAAGAAAAACTAAAACCCTGTCATATTTATATCGGTGACTCTTTCCGTCTCTTTGTCGATGGCAGCTCAAACCGACAAGGAGTGAGAGGGGCGAATAATAGAACAGTCCATCCATTTGGGGTTCAAGGCCTCAAATAACGAAGCAGAGTACGAGGCACTGATTGTTGGACTGAGGCTAGCAGCAGCAACTATAGAAGCCGACAAGGTGGTAGTCTTCTATGACTCTCAACTCATTATAAATCAAGCGACGGGCGAGTATGCAGCCCGAGATGAGAAGATGATAGCCTATGTCAAAGAGGTTGTCAAGTTGTTAGCATGTTTCCAAAACTGTCGGTTGCAACAGGTTAGTTGAGATGATAACAGCCACGCCGACGCTTTGGCTAACCTCGCTAACGCGATGAAATCAAATAAAGCAAGGACAATAATGGTGGATTATCTGTCAGGTCCAAGTACAAAGCCCCTAATAACAGAGTACGAAGCAATGTGCGGGGAGATGGGTCCAAACTAGATGGACGCCATAGTTGTGTTTCTTAGGGGTGGTAGGCTGCCAGCAGACAGAAAATAAGTGCACAAAACCAGATTAAAGTTCACCAGGTTTTGCCTGTTAGCAGAAGGAAATCTGTACAGGAGATCCTTCACTGGACCCCTTCTGAAATGTGTGCATCCATCCTAGGTTGAGGACTTTCTATACGAGATCTATGAGGGAGTATCTAGAAGCCATACTAGGGTGCATATCACTTGCTCACAGGGCCATATCTCAAGGATACTAGTGGCCCTACATGCAGAAGGATGCTGATGCCTATCTGAGGAAATACGAGAAGTGTCAAAGGTTTACACCTTTGATACACCAGCCAGCTGCAGATCTAAATCCAGTGTCTAGTCCTTGGCCATTTGCCCAGTAAGGCATGGATCTTGTTGGGTAACTGCCCCAGACAATTGGGCAAAGGAAGTTCCTACTAGTAGCAACTGATTACTTCACGAAGTGGGTAAAAGTTGAACCCCTAGGCAAAATCTGAGATGTAAATGTAAAGAACTTCATATGGAAGAAAATAATCACCAGATTTGGAATCCCAAGAACTATAGTAGTAGATAATCGCACTCAGTTCGACAACAAGTTAATTAAGAAATGTTGTGCGAAATACAAGATCAAGAACTATTATTCTACTCTTAGTTTCCCTTAGAGCAATGGACAAGAATAGGCATCTAACAAGACCATCTTGGATGAAATCAAGAAAAGTCTAGAAGCTGCCAAGGGCAAGTGGGTGGAGGAATTGCCTAATGTTCTATGGGCATATCGGATTACGCCGAGGAGATCTCCTGTAGAATCTTCCTTTGCCATGACATATGGCACTGATGTAGTCATTCCATTAGAAATCGGCATCCCTAGAATCAGAACCCAGGAAGTGGAGAATGGAACAAATGAGGCATTCCTTAGTTGAGATCTTGGTTTGATAGAAGAAAGAAGAAAGAGAGCAGCAATTCGGCTGGGGGCATACCAGCAGTAGCTTACCAAGGCATACAACAAAAAAGTCTATCACAGGGAGTTTCAGATTAGGGACCTTGTCCTAAGAAAGGTTTTCGACAATAAGAAAGATCCCAAAGAGAGCAAGCTTGGCCCAAACTGGGAAGGACCATATCAAATCATCTCGGTCGCCGGCAATGGCGCTTACCGGCTTGAAGACATTGATGCAAGAAGTTGCCAAGACCCTAAAACACCAGCAATTTGAAGTTTTTCTATAATTAATTTCTATTTTTTGAGTTTATTTTATGTAAACACTTATTAGCCGAAGTATTAATGAAATACTAGCTCAATTTTGTTTTTATAAACTATTGTTGGAATTTATGCGATAAGACTGAAAAGCCTTATAACGATGTTCCCATGGTGAACATGACGATTAACTTAGACTTGCCATGATGGTAGAGTTGAACTAAGTTGGCGATAAGGACCATATCAAATCATCTCGATCGCCGGCAATGGCGCTTACCGGCTTGAAGACATTGATGCAAGAAGTTGCCAAGACCCTAAAACACCAGCAATTTGAAGTTTTTCTATAATTAATTTCTATTTTTTGAGTTTATTTTATGTAAACACTTATTAGCCGAAGTATTAATGAAATACTAGCTCAATTTTGTTTTTATAAACTATTGTTGGAATTTATGCGATAAGACTGAAAAGCCTTATAACGATGTTCCCATGGTGAACATGACGATTAACTTAGACTTGCCATGATGGTAGAGTTGAACTAAGTTGGCGATGTTTCAGTATGAAACATGACGGTTAACTTAGATTTGTCATGATGGTAGAATTAAACTAAGTCGGCGATATTTCGGCATGAAACATGACAATTAACTTAGACTTGCTATCATGGTAGAGTTGAACTAAGTCTGCGATGTTTCTATATAAAACATGATGATTAACTTAGACTTGCCATGATGGTAG